AGGGGCCATGAGAACAAACACCTGTTTATAAGTGAAAACATCGCGGACGAAAACATCACGGAAGAAACAATGCAAGGGAAAAGCATCTTCTTAGACTAATTTTTACTAATTAGAGCATCAATTTTTAAAATTTCCAGATTTTTAAATGCTTAAATTTCCTTCTTGCTTTCCAATAAATTTTTTTTATTGTTACAAAATATGAAAAATAGAGATAAGGCTCTACTTGTTGCGCTCACAAGCAATTGCGCGAAAAATCCAATTATAATTTTTATAGCCTCCACTTCTACTGCGACATCTTTTCTCCCATGATGTTTTCCCCGACGTTTTCTGCAAGCAACCAAATTTCGTGCGCCATTCCAATCAGTTTATTAGTGAAACAAACTGTTCTGAATGTAATCCCTGTTCCCGAGCCTTCTTTATGTTTAATATTTTGTTCTAAAATGAACATTCTAGAAACAGTACATTAGAGAACGGTCAAAATATACGTATCACTTGATCATTCCAACTTCCTGTGTCTTCCCAAAATTATCCCACAATCGAAGATGGGTAAAACCATCTCAAGTGTCAAGGAGGCAATAGTATCTCTTTATCTATACTCATACTAATAACTATTAAGCGAAGGCAACTGACTGCCTTTAGTTGACCCCTCCCCCCCCGGTGGGCCGACTGGGGAGGATGCAAACTCCCGGCGTTCTGGCTGGGACCTGTACCTAGACCATGGAGGTAGGAAGTAAGACAGAGACAGAGAGACCTCCATGAGACAGACTCCACTTCTGGGGGTAAATAATTAGACTTCACAGTGATTAGAGCCCTCGTTTATTCGGTGGTAAGTTCACGCTTGGCAGGGGATCATATGGTACTTACTGTCTGACCCTTCACTGTGGGGGCGGTACATGGTTAGATATCGAAGGTTGTCCTTGGGGATTTGGCTCCCCATGGTCAACACTGGGGAACAGTCAACGACCTTTACTATGTTCTCCTTGTTGGTGTATGCTTTGCCGTTCCATCATTGACTTGTGTTACTTATACCAGACTGTGTGAATCAAATTTATTCCCCGAAATTGACCGGTGGAGTTATGCCTCATTGGATCGCCTTTAGGAGTTGAAGCCGCGAGTCTTTCTTTCAATAGTAAACGAGGCAGAATAATTGTCCGAAACAGTTGTTCGTATGAAACAAATGCATGTGTGATGTGGGCCTAAGGCAACATAAATGAAGCCAGATCTGTGATCCCCTTCTCCCTGATGTGCTGTCCTTAGTTGACAATATGACATCTATTCGAACAGAACTAGGTAACACAGGTAGTGAACACCGTGTTTATTTGCGTAATAGTCGCAGTAATCTACGACACAATATTGTATACTTTTGACGATTTTTTCTGCTTCAAAACGGAGGTGCAACTATTACTCGAGTAAACACGGTATATAAAGATTTGATTCCAAAATTCAGTTGGTATCCATGCTTAGAAAGGATATAAATCTGGAATTATTTGCCCACAGTAGTAAAAATTTTAAAATAAACACAATAAAATGTCTGGTTCACTGAATAATAAATTACTTGCAACAAAATGGAATACCAATACGTAAAAGTAAAAATTTCTCCTCTTTTTGAATGGTGGTTACAACTGAAAATACATAAATGAAAGCAGATTTCTATGACTTTTGCTGTTTAACAAAGAAATTGCGAAAGTCCAATAACAAACATAATATTAATTATTTAATCAATTTATTCGTATTAATTAATAATCGATAAGAATTTATTAACTAATTATTAAGTGATTAATTATTATTATTATTGATTTATTAATTAATAATATTTTGAGAGTGCTAATAATCATTTTTAACAATAATATTTATTTTTAAAATAATTTACTTTTTACTAATTATTAATTAATAATTAATAAAATTGTGTATTAATGCACAATCATATATTAATATGTCGCTTTATTCTTTTCTCTTTCATAATATAAATATGATACAGCATGTATTTAAATCGGCTTAAAATACCACAGTCATGATAAAAATGAATCTGACTTTTTTTAGAGTATTTTAACGGATTCTCATTAATATTTTCTGGAGTATAAATGCATATTAAAAAATTAAGTGCTCGTTATTAATAAATTTCCTTAGTTATATTAATACATCAAAGCACGCAGACATTTTAAATCACATTCAAGAATTTTTCATTACTGCATTCATTACAAGTAATATTCTCACAGATATACTACGTACTTTGGCAAATTCATTTCTCTGAATACCATTTATAGCTCCGTATTACATTTTAAACTTAGAAACATCACACTTAATTCCGGATTAATAATTTAAATATTTCTTTATCAGTTTACCGAAAGAGAAAACTATTTCTTGCGTATCAAACTTTGCTTTATTTCAATGACAAACTCTTCGCGAAGCAAAGCATAGAAAACATTTTACTAATAAATATCACTAAAGGTATGTCCGAAAACTCGTACTTTATAAAAACTTGGCTATTATATGGGATGCTATTATATAAGATGAAAGAATTCTTAAAAAAGTAAACAACAAACAACTGGCTAAACAACTAGAGATTTAAAAAAATCGTTTGCTTATTTTTAAGCATCGCTTTGGGTTCTAACGAAGCAAGTGCGCTTTTTAATATTTTTTTTTCCTTTTTTTAAACACTTTTTAGCCCGAAGGAGCGTTAGTTCAGAAAAGCTAATAGTGTCGAAACGGGACTTTGCTTTGAATCACTATAAACGGCTGAATCACTTTTCAGATTGTTGCCACCAAATATTGTTGCCCTGTATTATATTTAAAGAAATTAAATAAACGTATATTTATCACACAGTAAAAAACGACAGAACGTATAGAAATTTTGAATAACGTTATCCTCCACCCGAATATGGGCACCTGGAAGCCTGAATTAGGATTTTCGAATTTGTTTTATTATCGATTTCATATTTGTAACATTAACGAATTTCTGATTTACAAACTCAACGATTTCAAAGCGAGCAATGGCAAGACACTGTACAGAAAAAAAAAAAAAAAAAATATCTCCAGGAGGACCGAGGACTGTCTATAGGAAACTCTAAAGATATGTCGTTTGTAAATATTTTGTGGTACTGCTGCTGATTTGAATTTTATGTGGTTTAAGTGGGAAGAACATGATATTTAATAATTAAAGGTAACACAAAACGTTAGGAAAACGCCTCTTCGGACGTAATGTAAAATTTCAAAGCTTTCAGACTCTTTTTTTTTTTTTTTTTTTTGTTTAATAATTAACAAACAAAAACGTTTGTTTTAAATCTTTTTGTTTAATTTGTTTAATATAAAACTTTACGGAACATCTTTGAATCAATTTCTTTTGTTGCTCTTAAATTTTTTTTTTTTAAATTTTCATTTATGCATTATATAAGTCTTCCGAATATTGAATTTATTCGAATCGCTTATTATTTGTTTTAAAACGCTAACTTCTGCCCTTGCATTTAAAATAGTAGAAGCAAAATAAAGCAACTTTACTGAATTCTCACCAAGAGTTGTTTGGAAGAAAAATCTACTAATACAAACAGGAATCATGCGAAATAAAAATTCCGAAGTCAAATTTATTCAAATGGCATTTCTATATGTTTACCGATGGGAGATGAGAATTCCATCGGGTTATAAATTAAATATACAAATATTTCCTCGATCAGTAAGACTTCTGAAATCCCCCCCCTTTTTTTTTTTTTTTTTTTTTTGGTTATATGATTGATGTGTTTGAGAAGCAAAAAATACCTTTATTTACCTGTTTCATATTACTAATTTTTAGTTGCTTGTGGGTACCAATCTTAATTCTTTCATCATGTTTAGAATGAACTAAAATCAAGAAATTAAATATTACAGAAAAGTGGCCAGTAATAGCATTTGTTACTTAATTTGTTAAGTAACAAATACTGTTACTTAATCTGCATTTTCTACTTTTCAGAGTATTTGCTTCCCAATATTTGATTACATTTCATTTTCATCGCATCCGCATACATAGTTATTGTTTTGTTAATATCATTAAAGCAAATTAATAATTTTTAGTATTCAAGTGATGAACATTTCTTAAGTTTAAATATTATATTTATTGAGTTTTTATAAATATTAAAAACATCAAGAAAGTAAAACAAATATATATATAAACTCTGAAAGCATTCAGATTTTACATTACGCCAAAGGGGCTTTTTAACGTTTTTGTGTGTTACCTTTATTTATTAAATATCATGTTTTTTGCACTTAACCCATAAAATTCAGTTCAACAGCAACATCGCATAATAATTTTAAACTGAGTATATCTTTAGAATTTCGGTCTCGCGCAGTAGAGATAATTCCCCCTCCCCCTCGTACAGTGTTGCCATTGTTCGCTTTGAAATCGTTGAGTTTATTAATCAAGAATTCGTTAAGGTTTTACAAAATATGAAATAGATAATAAAGCATATTCCAAATTTGGGCTTCCAGATGCCCATATTCGGTGGAAGATTACGTTATTCAAAATTTGATCGCTCAAAGTACTGTTGTTTTATCACAATGCGAGAAACATACATACATTTATGCATATTCTTCATTATTTAATTTCTTTAAATGTAATATAGGGCTCTAACATTTGGTGGCAACAATCTGAAAAGGGAACAATTTATAGTGAATGAACGGAAAATGGCAAAACGAAATTAATAGCCCTTGTGGGCTAACGCGCCCTTAAGACTAAAAATAATTGTTTTTCAAATCAAAAACTGTGTACAGAATGTGTCAAAAAGTAAAGATAGGAGTCAAAAAGTAAAGATAGAATTCTTTGTGATTTACTAAAACAATAATAACTTATAAATTGAATTCATTACTTATGTAAGTTGATAATATAATGTTTTATCCAACGTTAAAAATCTATTATATTTGATGTAAAGAATAAATATACAACAAATTAACTTCACTGCATTCCAAATAAGCACAAAATAAATAATTAAAAAAATAATAAAAACAAAATTATTTTAAAAGTAAAATTTCCTTACCGTTACTTGGTTTCCGCAATCCGCAGAAAAGTGAAGCAATTTAAAATCATAGTCTTCGAAACCATGAAGAGTTTAATAAAAGTAAGCAAAAACTGCTCACAAAAAATATCCTCTGTAAAATATTTTTTGAGTATGCTAGAAGTTTGAAGTCTGCCAACACTGTAGAATAACAAAAAAATCACAAACCCATTTACGATATCGTAAATCCAAAAATCCAAAACACTGAGAATCTTCGTATGTATTTGATGTCTCAATCGTTGGTCAAATGATTGTTAGAAGATCGTTGGTTTCTTTTAAAACCCTTGACGAGGTTAAAGTCCTACTTGCTTGATTAATTGGTTTTTCTTTAATGTCCTGCTTGTTAATAGAAAAGGACTGCTACTTGTTGCCACTTCTTATCTGCGAAAAAACAAGTTTATTTTTCAAGGTCCATTACCAAGCGCAGACTTGGGAGCGGTTCAGAATACTTACTTATTGAATTTATTTTCTCATGAGATGTCAACAAAGTAATTAATCGGGTAGAAAATTTTACTTGCGATTTTATCAAATTTTTGTGCTACAGTTAAAGATTTTTCAAAGCCGTAAAAGTTTGAACTGTCTGCTTTATGAGGCAGGTTAGAGCATTCAGAACACGAAACAGGTAACTTTTTAAAATTTGATAGTGAGAAGGTGTAGTAGGATGTTATCAGAAGTCAAAGAAAATACTTGTTGCCAAAGTATTCGAGTTAAATTCTTATGTTAAGCAATGTAACAAACTGCACCAACGTGATGGCTTATTCTTACTGTAAAGAAATTATATAAAAAAAATGACTGTCTCCTTGAAATCTCCTCCTGCCGTGAATAAAATATGCAAAAACACTTTGAAGAAAACTAAAGCAGAAAAAATGCTAAAGTCTGGAACACCGCACCTCCAAATGTAGCATATTTAATGCAACCCTTTAGCGATGCTCAGAATAAAAAATAGCGTTAAATTAAGGAGCAGTAAAAATCCTTGAATCCTTGGTGGAGGAATCTGCTTCGGCAATCGTCGCATTCAACGGCGCATAAAAGCCGCTGCTCAGCAAGACACCTTGTACCTGCGGTGAGGTTTCTTGTCTGATGTGGACGAGCACTCAACAAGTCCCAAGGGTGGAGTTGGAAGGGAGCAGTCACGTGACTCGAGGTGGGTTGCCAATGAGAGCGATGTTGTGCCGTCAACTCCGCGGGGTTGTAACCCCGGGGGTAGCCGGAACGAATATACCGCAGATTTCTTTCTACTCTCGATGTTTCTTAATTTCTGGAACTTGCCCAGTGAACTCTTTGTCTAATTAAAAACACATTTAAATACTCTAATTAATAAAATCATGTAGCGAATCGCGAGTTCTCTCTCTTTTTTTTTTTTTTTTTTTTTTTTTTTTTTTTTTTTTTTTTTTTAACCTACGTAAAATGAAGCGTTTAATAAACATCTCGAAGGAAATTTCTTTCTACAGAGCTTAAATTTCGCCTGAGCCCAGTTAAGCCTGGCTCCGGTAATGCTTCGTTTTGGGATAAATCATAATTTTAGCCAGAGTGCACTGGAGCCCTAAGTAAGAAGACTTTTATGTAACTGAATAACAATTTCAGTAGAAATTTGATAACCAGAATTTTTTTTTTTTAAATAAAATTATATTAATCGCTTATTAAATTACAGAGGCTGTTCGCACATTTTTTAGACGATTTTGGTAAGCGGTAATAAAAAATCGTTTGCTTCAAAAGAAGTAATTGCAATTGTACTATGTTTTTAAAATTCAAAATTATCGTCTGTGGCTTGAAAGTTTTGTTTTTATTCAAAATGGCGAATTTAACAAAGCAGTGGTTCGAAGGCTACATTTACGCTCTTTCCGAAGAGAAATATGCTTACTCCGTTATCCAAAAACGATGTGAGAGTCATTGTTTTGTGATATCTGAAGCGACGATAGGTAATATCATCAACAAGAAAGGAAAAAAGCGTCAAATTGGAGCCTCAAGTGGGACAAAAATTTCAAACAAAGACCCAAGGAAAAAACGAACATCTTCGACTATTGCAAAGGTACGTTGTTTAAAGAAAATCCCCCTAGTCAAAGGACAGTTGCAAAATCATTAAAATGCCCGGTGTCCACTGTAAACAAAATGATAAACATTGATTTAAACCTTAAGAAAGCGAAAAAACGCAATGTGCATCGTCTTCTTCCAAAGCATATCGCTCAACGCAAGACACGCTGCAGAATTCTATATGAGAAACACTTATCCAAAGAAAAATGGAAAACAATTGTCACAATAGATGAAGCATGAGCGTGTTTAAATGATTCTAACAAAAAAAAGATCAATTTATTATCATAAAAGGGGAGAAAAAAATTTAAGTATTCTTTGAACCATGTATGGTTCAAAGAATCGAAAGAAAGTTTTTCTAAGGGATTCATGATTGCTGCTGGTTTTTCTTATAATGGCAAGTTAAAAATAAAGAGAGTGCAAAAAAATGTCAAGATTAACTCCAAATACTTTCAGGAACATATTTTATCGCCATTTTTTTCTGATTGAAATACCATCGCTTTACCCAAAGTGCCATCCATCTGTGAGACTCCATCAGGACAAAGCTAGCAGTCACACATCAAAATCCACTGTAAATTTCCTAAAAGAAATGGAACAAAAAACTGGTATAAAGGCCATACATACCCTTCACTGATATCCTTACTAAATCTCCCGATGTGTCACCTATGGATTTTTGTGCATTCGGACTTTTAAAAACTGCATTTTCCAAACGTTGTCCCAAAACTCTAACAGGACTCTGGAGAGCTGTTCGGGAGCAATGGGTTAGAATACCTCTTCTGCCACTTCAAAAGGCATTATTATCCTAAAAATTGCGGTGTCGAAAGATAGTTCAGAATAAGGGATGTCAAATAGAACATTTAAAACACAAGAATTTTGTGTAATTTAGTTTTGTGAATACAATATACATCGTCTAAAAAATGTGTGAACAGCGTCTGTATCAGGTATTTCTCCCGTCTTCTTATCGTGCCTTCGTAGTGTAGTGGTCAGCACGCTGGGTGCGCATCCATAGGCTCGATTCCCGGCGAGGGCGTTGCTCATTTTTCAAGTCTTCTGCTTCCAAACACCTAATGTCTCTACAGTGGCGCCCGAATTAAAAGGGTGGTGGAGGATGACTGTCCACACCCAGGATTTGCCGCTTGGATCGTCTAAAAACCCCAGTCGCCCTTTAAAAGGGGGAATTTCTCCCCCTTTTTAGCATGCTTTCGTAGTGTAGTGGTCAGCATCACTCTGGGTGCGTATCCAGAGGTCCGTGTTTCGATTCCTGGCGAGAGCGTTGCTCATTTTTCAGGTCTCCTACTTCCAAATACCAAATGTCTCTATAAAATTTTGATTTATCTCTTTACATTTTATGAAATTTTAATTTTCATTATTAGCCCAAAAAGCGTTAGCCCAGAAGGGTCATTTTGCGTCGATTCACTTTTCAAACTGTTGCCACCAAATATTACAGCTATTTTAAATCTGCGTCATACAAGATATTCAAAAAAATATAAGAATTTCTCAGCTTTCCCTGTGCATATGTTCGTGGTGTAAGTAGAAGAGCGTCCACACAACAATTGAAAGATCCAGGGTTCGAATCCGAGCGAGGACTCAGCTGATTTATGACATTCTCTATCTTTGAAAAAAAGCTAGTAATTCTACAAACATTCGCCTTGAAATGATGTCTTCGTGGACGAAATTCCAATAATAACTAGCATTTGACAAACCAGTCGGACCAATTAAAAGGAGTTTTTAATTATTTTTTCTTAATCAACCCACCAGCCATGCAAAAAAGGGAAGTCAGAAAACTCATTGACAGCCTTCGGTCTGTAAGGATATAAAAATGTTAATTATATATGGAAGTGCTAATTAAATCCGTTTCCGGTCTTAATCCGGAGTGTAATGTGAATACGAGCCAGTTTCCTTTAGAAAGTCCTCCGTGAAGATATCTCTTCCCTCAGGCACAGAGGCCCTGGTATCCTATGACATATTCAAATGGTCTAACCTGCGCTTAATCCGACTGAAGCTTTGTAAAAGCTTCTAAAAATGAAATTTCCAACAAAAATATTACAAATGCTACTGGATTTGCTGTTGAAAGAAGCATTTATTACTGAAAATGATAATGATCATTTATTAAAAATTGCTTTCGTTTGCAACAAAAATAGGCCTATTCAAGTAAATCCAGTAATTAAGGTAAAAAAGCTGAATTATAAAATGATAATTTTTATTTTCTTTATTTATTTTCGAATTAATGTATCTAACTTTGATATTCTTCTTATGAAGGATAATAAAGGATTTTCTTAGGAAAACTTTCGGAAGAAATGCGTCCTTTTCTTACAAAATAGGCTTGATTCTTAACAATATTAGTAAGTATATTTTTATACTTACTAACAATAATAATAGTCATAATAATATGGCCAAGGACTGCAGATTATTTAACGATGTGCATTTGAATAACAGCATTTTAAGAGTTGTAATTATTAAAAATATGCAAATTGCATAAATAAATCAGAATACATTTTTAAATGAAATTAACTTCAATTTAAATAACAAAAAATTCAAAATTTCAATACCATGAATATGAAAGCATAGTTTTACGTAGCGTATTCTGAAACTAAGTACCGTTTCATTCTAGCGCCGTCGCAGCGCTGTGGTAGGCGTCCCGCGCACGCGCACTAGTCTTTCTTGTTCACTGACTTTCAATTGTCGCCATTTTGGTTGCTCTATGTTGTGTTTTCAGTTTGCTGTGCACATTCAAAATGTTTAAGACAATTAGTTCTCCCGCTGACTGTGAGATTCGTGCCGTGATTAAATTTTTGAACGCGAGGAATGTTAAACCGGCCGAAATTTATCGTCAAGTGACAGAAGTTTACGGTGAATACGCGATAAGTGATGGAATGGTGAGAAAGTGGGTAAGAATGTTTAATGCAGGTCGAACAAATGTCCACGCCGAGGCTCGGAGTGGTCGGCCTTCTGTTGTCACCGATGATTTGGTAAGGAAAGTTGATGAAGCAATTCATGAGAACAGACGCTTCACAATGACAACTCTTTCAGAGGCATTTCCACAAATTTCACGTACTGTTTTGTTCGAAATTGTGTCTGACCGCTTGAATTATCGCAAACTGTGTTCCCGATGGGTTCCAAAAATGCTCACTGATGTTCACAAAACAAAGCGACTTGGTAGTGCCCTGACATTTCTCACGCGGTACAGTGATGAGGGAGAAAACTTTTTAAACCAAATTGTGACAGGTGATGAAACTTGGGTGTGTCATTTCACACCAGAATCGAAACAACAATCGATGGAGTGGAGACACACTCATTCTCCGAAAAAACAAAAGTTCAAAGTGACAATGTCATCACAAAAAATCATGTGCACTGTCTTCTGGGATAGGAAAGGCGTTTTGCTTACTGAATTTCTTCCCAGAGGTGAAACCATTAATGCGGCACGATATTGTGAGACTTTAACAAAACTAAGGCGTGCCATTCAAAACAAACGAAGAGGAATGCTCAGTAAAGGAATTGTGTTGCTCCATGACAATGCTCGGCCCCATACTGCTGGTGTCACTCAATCGTTAATTCGACAGTTTCATTGGGAGCAGTTCGATCACCCGCCGTACAGCCCGGACTTGGCGCCGTCCGACTATCACTTGTTCCTGCACATGAAGCGCGAGCTTGGTGGCAAGCGCTTTGGATCTGACGATGACACGAAAAATGCTGTGGAGTCGTGGTTATCGAAACTGGCGGGAAGTTTCTTTGACGATGGTATACAAAAACTGGTCACCCGCTATGACAAGTGTTTGATCATTGGCGGAAACTATGTTGAAAAATAGTTTAAGACATGTATTTTCATGTAAAAATAAAATTGGATTCGAAAAAATTGTTTTACTTTTTTTTTTTTTTTTTTTTCAAAACGGTACTTAGTTTCCGAATACGCCTCGTATATATATATATATAGAGAGAAAAAAAATTTAGAACCAATTTTTCACAAAAGCCAAAAATTGAAATTCAAATGAACTTCATAAAGTCCTACAAATGTAGAATAAGAATATTTTAAAATGTAAAAAT